TATAGATGGTAGAAGACTGTTCTTTACTCCAATAAACCTATGCTTCATAGTCCACTTCACTTGACCGCCTGCTAGTTAAAATACTCATTATGTACTCATTATGTATTATGTATACTCATTATGTTTTCATGGCGAGTACTTATTGCCGTGTAAGACAGCTAAAACTATTAATATGTGTATCTCATATACAAATGCATGAGGCAAAAGATGTAATGGCTTGAATTCTACGTGTCTTGGTTCTCATATTTGAGTGGAATGAAAGATGAGCTAGACTGTGAAGTAATCAGAGTAAATATCCCTACAAGTCATCGATGCTATATACAAACATCAATTAGCCTTCAAACACATGTTGTCAAACATAGTTTACTTTGTATATAGAACCAGCTGGGATTTAAAAGAAAACTTGAGAAAATTCACTTATTAAACATTCGTTTTACTCATTTTACTACAATTCAAATAATGTATAAAATACTCGATAGACGCTGTTTCTGTGTRATAAAAAACAAGAAGGATTCACAACAAGGTAGGCCGAGAAGGATTCATGTATCACAAGGTACGACGGCAGAGAGGTAGAATCTAGGACAATTAATGTGCAGCAGTTTATATGACGGCGGTTAATTGGCAATATTGTACGAAGGAAGATYGCACTGTGTGTCCGCCAGAAAAATCCTTATTTCGTCATATATCCTTATTTCATACTCTATTCCTGTAATGTTGAAAACTTGTATAATGTTTTTTCACACGTGAAGATATTGCTGTTGGCCATGGTATTGTAGCATTAACTCAACTTGCTATATATTTAAAAAAGTCATCCTTTTTTTGTTTCATTGACCACAATTTAATAAATACAAATATATATGGTCGCTTGGAGAAACGAATTTCCATCAAGATTATTCGTTCTTTGCGCTCACTTGTGATGAAACAATCGAAAATAAAATTCGTAGTCCTTTCCTGCGTACCCGGCCTACTCATCCCGCCGTCCCTTCCCATCGCCTAGACCCGCCACGTGATATACTCTATACGTACGATATATAGTATTTATCAATTAGGTGTCCTTTTTTTCTTTTATAGCAATGTTAGTTAAGATGTGGTGTCTTGGTTGGTTGTTTCGCTTCATGTTTTTGGTGATTTTGTATCCACCATTAGGTAGGAATCACAGCACTTAGCGATGCCATGAAGTATATGATAAATGAGAACCAGTTTTACTTCTACCTTATTAGGAGAAGCACACAGTGTCTGTTACTCTCCATATGGATGCTTTACCGATTCGCCTCCATTTGATTACACTTTGTTACCTTTGCCACAGTCCCCAGCAGACGTAGGTACAAGACTCCTGCTCTATAAAAGATCTTTGACAGGCTATGAGGTTTTGAGCAACATCAAGACAGACGACTTGTTGAACAAGTCTAGTTTTGAACCACAAATACCTACTAGAATCATCATTCATGGCTTTGCCTTTATAGATCGTAAGTATACACATCTACATGGGGAGGTACACTTCACGTGTTTTTGACTGTAACACAACAACTTTTATTTAGAAATTTGAATTGTTAAGTGTATCAGCCTTTTTGCATACGATATCAGATTCTTTTTTTTCTTTGAAAATTGTTACCAAGCCGGGACAATCAGTAGAGGGATATTATGGGTACGAGGGCGGGACGGCTGTAGAATGATGCCTTCAGTACTAGCACGGGACGGCCTGTAGAATGATGTCATGAGCACTAGGGCAGGGCAGATAAAGTGATGTTATGAGTACTAGAGCGGGGTGGTTAGTAGAGTGATGTTGAATACTACATAATATTTCATGGATGTTTCCTTATCATGTGCGTACGTTTATTAATAGCTGAATCATCCATCATTGATATCGATGGTTGGTGGGGACTTACAATGAAAGATGAATTTCTCAAGAAAGAAAATCAAAATGTCCTAATCGTTGATTGGATAAAAGGTGCCAAGCTTTCTTACCTTCAATCAACGGCTAATACAAGACTAGTTGGAGCCCAGGTTGCGCATTTTTTAATGATTGCTCAATCTCTCGCACAGAAGACTGGAGTAAAACTGGGCTCTGTTCATATCGTTGGTTTCAGCCTCGGCGCGCACATCGCAGGTTTCGTTGGACGACGAATGAGAGCAAATGGATCTCTGCTGAACAGAATAACTGGTAAGATAACTGATAAGACATATCGTGATTATGGATAAATGAAAGTGCTCGCCTCTACTTTATCCCCGAGCGAGACCAACTCTATAAATTGTCTAAGATTTTCATGATAGGACTTACAGCAAACCTTATTTTGTTATACGTTTTTCATATTTTTTCAGAGKCACAGACAATTTTTGAGAATATCTTTTCAGTTTTTAACATTGTATTTAATTGTGAATGATGTGCAGGACTTGACCCAGCAACTGTCATTTTCAAAGATGCTCATGCCGATSTAAGACTGGATCCAAGCGATGCTAAATTTGTTGACGTCATACACAGTAGTTACTTTCTTGGAATTAGTGCTCCTCAAGGACACATGGACTTTTATCCCAATGGTGGGAACTTCCAGTCTGGCTGTACTATTTTTGACGGTAATGGCRTCAGATTACAGACCCATTTTTCAAACTCTCACGCCATCTTGAGAGCATATGCTTCCAATTGATGGTAAACGACCCCGATATACCGTCTTTAAGATAGACCACTAATTTTTTTACACAATAACAAAAGAATATGACGTCACATAGGTTTGTAACCTGATTGATCATCATTTTGCTCCATTAAAAAGCGAAAATGTTTTAAAATTATAGAAACATATTTCTTTAAAGCAGGAAGTCAAACAGGATTAATATATTTTAGTACCTATGATTATGTCCTGATAATTGATAGGTCCTGATGGCTTTGTCTGTCATCACGTGAGAGCTGCTCTTTACTTCACTGAGTCCATCAACTCGTTATGTCCTTGGAGAAGCTACCGCTGCAATTCCGAAAGAGATTTTGATCGTGGATTGTGTCTTGATTGCAGTCTGGGGTGTCCACGATTTGGTYTTKCTGCAGGTATAAATGGCAACATCTCCAAAGGAACATTTTACTTGTACACAGCACCTTCCACTCCTTTTTGTGGTATGTTTTGTTTTATTATTATTTAGTTATTAGGCGTAGCACAGGTAGCGATGGGTTGGCTTTCGACTTGGAATTGCTAAGAAACGTGAGATGATGCTGTGTAACGCGTTATGTGACGTGTTGAATAGTGTGACGCGTTGCTCATCCATTTGCCAGGCGGGGAAATCTTTTCGACATGAGTTTCTGAAACTGAGGTCACGTGATAGGGAACGAGAACTCAACCTAAATATTACAACGAATACTAGAATATACGTTGATTTTGTTTATCTTGTATTGCTAGTACATCACTATCACGTGACTATGCACACAGCTGATAGTATCCTGTCTGGGANTTTTGGTAAGGGTCCACGTTTCAGCACCGTAGAGGAGAATCGGCTCGATTAGTGTTTTAAAGATGTGTACTTTCGTTTCTTTGGCGAGGGTCGAATGCCATATCTTATTCAGCTTGTTACAGGCTGACCATGCGAGGGCTTTTCGGGTCTTCATATCTTTTCCGGAATCCATTATGAGGGACCCGAGATACTTGAAGTCATCAACTTGGTTGATATTATTTCCAGCAGATGATAGAAAGCTGCAATTTGGAGATGAGGAGATCACTTCCGTTTTACTTTCATTGCAGTGGAGTCCTACTAGGCTTGCTGCATTTTCCAACGAGTGAAGAAGTGATTCAGCATTAGCTATAAGTACTGCATGAAAGTGAGATGGTCTATACCAGAGGTTTTGACTTAAATAATCAACTATATGACGGAAATGCCTCGCATACTCGCGGCTCTCGAAAACAAAAATAAGGAATACAAACCAAGTCGTGCGTGGAACCACCGTTTCATTCCATTTCTTTTCATTCGATTTATAGGGTTTCTTTCAATCTGACTTGATAGCTCAGACAAGAGATCAAAATAGCAAATTACTGGACAAGATTTGATACAACAATCTTTGTGTCTCATTGATTTATTTATCTTTATAGGAGAGACATCAGTCGAGGCAGCGTGGAGTCGTTTGTTRCCAAGGCAAGGAAAGAYCTGGGTCGACTCACTGCAATAACAATATGGCATAACCATGTCATTCAGTTTTGGAAAGTCTCAAAGATGATTATCAGGCCTGGTTGGAATAATGTCTTGTAAGTGAATTTCACTAAGTAATCAACCTTGCTTTGAAATTATCCATTAAGTCATGGCTGAATTAARAAGTTAGATCCAGCATTTGGCCTAATCGTTTTTTTTTAATACAGTAACTTACGTAATTTGATTTATCTTATCAAAAAATAAACGATTGTTTCATCTTCTCAAATTCAGTTGTTTGTTTRTTTTTGTTTGCTGTTGTTTTTTACTTATGGAATAAACCATCAAGTTTAATCATGTTCTTTGTTCAATAGGTACACTGCTTGCTTCAATCAATGGGTTCATTTCAGAGACAAGACAACAACGACAATTTCTAAAGGAAGCTTGTCTTGTTAGGATCAAATCAAAAGTCCATTAGATTGCTGAAGAAGGCCGAATGGCCGCAAGTCTAAATAAACCAGAATTTACAAATTGAAAGTTGTGTGAATTGTTTATTCTCCTTGTYGCACGTTTTGATATTTGAGGTGTGATGAAGTCTCCTAAAAAGTCTACACTTTATCAGTTTTGACCTTTTGGGGGTTCCTTTGGTATCATCTTTGTTGAACGGGTCCAGGAAGACAGGAAGCCCAAAACTTGACAAGAGTAACAGAAAGTTTGTCAAGTTGAAAAGAGACCTTTCGCTCGTGCCCAGGCCGCAAACTACATGCACAGCTCTCATTTAAAAAAAGGACTTTTATCACAGTAGAGTATCCGTCCTTAGTGTGCACACAAAGGAATTACGTGAACCTATAGGTCTCAAATACGACGATATTCCCATAATGTTTGACAGCAAACGAAATTTTAAATATTGAGTATTTACGCAATTCATATGAACAGAGTGGACAATTTACCACAGGCTTTGTATTTTAAGGGGGATTTTAAGGGGGCAACACTATGGCAGATTAGAGAAAAGCTTAATCTCAATTTCCCAGATCTATTGATAGATTGTAACGACTGTATTGTCATTGTCTCAACACAAGTCTTTGTAGTCAGACATCTATGTGCGCCGAGGGAGGAGAGGGGTAATGCATCCCCGTTATCACTACGGTGTCCCTGATCCGAATTGAGGATCGACTCCTCACACTTCCCCGATAACCCGCTCAAAATCACTCAGCCAATCCAGTTATTATTGTGTTTATTGTTTGCATGCAGTAAAGAGGAATCCTTGTCTATATATAACAGATTACATGACTAAAGTTTATAACCCTATACGTATTTGCTGACATTGAAGAAATACCACTTTCTAAAGCAATCCCAGTGTCCCATTATGTCCATCGATACAGAGTACTGCTAAGCCGAAACGTCTTTCCATCGAAGTGGCTGGCAATAAAGAGGTACGCATGACCTTGATGCACGAATCCAGTGACACCCATAGCACCAACCGTATACAGTGAATGATGATAAATGAATTTAGCACCGCTGGCCTTGTATACCAAAGATGGTGGTTTAAARAATAAGTTGTTTCTTTCATTGGCAAATATCAAGTATGTTTCGCTATTGATCTTCATTGACGTCACTGCAGAGACTCCTGTAGTTTGGATGCTTTGATAAAGAGAGAATCGCCCTCCACTCCACATGTAGATGTATGAGTCAATTTCAAAACGAAACAAGTTTTTGTGATTTGCAAAGACCAGGAAGTGACGCTCTCCAATCTTGAAATAGTGAACATCTCGAACATTGTACGTAGTGATTGACTGAAACTCWACAAACTTGTTGTTTTCCCATTTGTAAATTATTGACGAAGCTGATGGGTTGCCGGTACTAAAGATACTATTTCCAAACACAAGGAAATGRTTGGAGTCTATCGAGAACGCTTCGCATGCAGTAGCAGCTGCTGTTTTGATCTTTTGAAAATGCACAAACTTTCCTGCTACCCATTTCATTATGAATGAATCAATATTTCTCGACATGCCATTGTTACTGTTAGCAATACAAAGGAAATGCTCGTCTYCAATGGTCCAGAATCCGACGTCTTTCGCACCATACGTCCTGATGTACTGGAACTTAACAAACATCCTTCCATTCCACTTGTAGATCTCAGAGTATGTTGCAAACGTACTGTGCTGTAACAATACTGCAATGGCCAAGTAATGTTCATCATTTATGGTAAAATGTTTGAGTTTGTARCTACCATGTACCGGGTCAGGGGATAAGTACTGAAAGTGTTCAAGTTTTCTTTCATCATTCATTTTGAACACCACCGAGTAAACCGTTCCAATCTGATTATCATTWTTGTAGGCAACCGCAACAAACGTCTGTCCATTAATGTTAAATGTCTGTGATGACATTGCTCCAATAGTTTGAATATCTTGAACTTTCTCAAAATAAGCAAACGAAGAAGCTGAAATKGAAAATGAAATGTCATTTTAAAAACTCTCTTCACCCTATCAAAAAGTGGGCTTTTTACTGTTCCTTTTTCTTATTTGATTTGCTTTGCCACTTTTGTTGTTGTTGTCTTTGTGTTTTTTCTTAATTTTGTATTTGTTTTTTCTTTTGYCCTTTTTTTGTTTTGTTTTGTTTTGATATCCCTCCCCGTCCCCATCCAATGGTAACCTTTAAAAGGATTCAGTTTATAGTGTCCAAACGTCCAGAAGCAATTCATGGGTGTCGTAGAGGCTAGACCATATACTGATACTATGTCTAGAATGCTGTTATCAAATTGAGAAGACTTTTGTTCGATCTACTGTCCTTCAGTCAAGTAGAGTCATTCTGATATATACGGTATATACGCATGCGTACCGGTGACGTATACATAAAATGGCATAAGGTTACCTGGTTTCGTATTTTGTTCTACCACAGTAAGATTGATCTTCAAGATATCGACCTAAACATACAACAATAAAATACAGAATGCTCTGCAAGGACATGACATCACATGACTTCACAACGGTCTATTGTTTTAAGTTAGCTCTAAAGATCTACGTACTGCATCAAGTTTAGATTTTAATTTTTAGATATTTCTGAAAGGGGTTCACTGTTACCCTGTGATCCCCCTCTAAGGTAAAAATACCTATGCAAGAAACTAGCAAAAATAGCGTGTTTACACAATACGTCAATGCATTGAACGCTGAAGCCTGATTTGACAATAATTATGATATTTTCGACAAGACAACATCAATACCTCGAGCTGTAAGTCCAGGTTTTCTTTCATTAGTTTATCATACTTCTTGTGAAGATCTGTGCCCTTTAAAATCAGAGCACTTATTAGATCTAGCTTTGTAATGACTCCTTTCCCTAGTTTTYCTATAATCGGACCTTTTGCTTTCACNTGATGAAAGGAGACCTACTGTGGAATACCGTCCTTGATACTAAGCATACATGATGATGAAAGGAGACCTACTGTGGAATACCGTCCTTGATACTAAGCATACATGATGATGAAAGGAGACCTACTGTGGAATACCGTCCTTGATACTAAGCATACATGATGATGAAAGGAGACCTACTGTGGAATACCGTCCTTGATACTAAGCATACATGATGATGAAAGGAGACCTACTGTGGAATACCGTCCTTGATACTAAGCATACATGATGATGAAAGGAGACCTACTGTGGAATACCGTCCTTGATACTAAGCATACATGATGATGAAAGGAGACCTACTGTGGAATACCGTCCTTGATACTAAGCATACATGATGATGAAAGGAGACCTACTGTGGAATACCGTCCTTGATACTAAGCATACATGATGATGAAAGGAGACCTACTGTGGAATACCGTCCTTGATACTAAGCATACATGATGATGAAAGGAGACCTACTGTGGAATACCGTCCTTGATACTAAGCATACATGATGATGAAAGGAGACCTACTGTGGAATACCGTCCTTGATACTAAGCATACATGATGATGAAAGGAGACCTACTGTGGAATACCGTCCTTGATACTAAGCATACATGATGATGAAAGGAGACCTACTGTGGAATACCGTCCTTGATACTAAGCATACATGATGATGAAAGGAGACCTACTGTGGAATACCGTCCTTGATACTAAGCATACATGATGATGAAAGGAGACCTACTGTGGAATACCGTCCTTGATACTAAGCATACATGATGATGAAAGGAGACTGTGGAGAGTAGGAAACCAACGGAGATACAAAAGTTTCGTTTGACAGTCGACGATTGAAGGAATTCCCCTAGCTATTTTACTTCTAAATTTCCTTTTTATCTAGTTCATGCGGCTTTTCCTAGTGCTATATGTTGTCCAAATAGCAAATAATTTCCGCAGATCTTCACCTTTGATTTTAAGCCAATCAGCGAGCAAATTTCATTAAAAAGATATATATATTTTTAAAATAAATAAACCAATCCCGAATTCGCTTGGATGAACACGGACCAATGGCTTCATTTCGAGGCTGGAGTTTTCGACAAAAGATAAAACTCCAGCCTCGGAATGAAGCCATTGTTTCGTGTACATCCAAGCGAATGCGGGATTGGTCTTTTATTGAAAATTTCTTATATTTCTTCTAAGAAAGAAGAAAAAAGTGCTCATATGACCAGACATTTCGATAATCGGGCTAAGCCCGCGATTCGCAGCGGAGTTACTCATCTTACTAAAATTTGATCTCTGTAAACTGTATGAAAATGTATGGGAGACCGCAGGAATCATGCAAATAAAAACATTTTGGCTATACATTTCAATTTTGCCAAGTTCACATCGGAAACTATTTGCATTTCTTATTTCGAACCAAGCAAAAAATTATATATATTTGACTAACTTACTTTTCCATTCGAAGTACATATTTTCCCTGCTCTTCAGTGAGATATTCAGGGTATTCCTCTGCAAATTAGCGACGAACAGCCATATGTTGACGCTTATTTCCTAAGAATTGATCATGTACTTGAAGTTTGACAAGTTCGATTAAAGTAGAACAAGGTTTCTGCTCGAAGCTAGCGGCGATTCTAGCCACTATTTCTACCGAGAAAGCTAGCGGCGATTCTAGCCACTATTTCTACCGAGAAAGCTAGCGGCGATTCTAGCCACTATTTCTACCGAGAAAGCTAGCGGCAATTCTAGCCACTATTTCTACCGAGAAAGCTAGCGGCGATTCTAGCCACTATTTCTACCGAAAAAACGTCCATTTTAAGCTCAAAGCCAAGGACCCTCCATAAAAAATATCTTCCATTCTTGTCAAGCCAACTTTCTTCAACAAGGGTCATTATAGTTGATTGAATTCCTAACTTTTTGATGCTTCTTTGGACCGTTCTTGGTACCAACAAGAGGCTATCAGATGCCGTAGAGATTTGTGGGAAGAATTCCAAAGGAAAACCGAAAAAGTTGGTTTGCATTTTTACTTCCGGTGATCTTTGTTTTGATGCCAATTTTCAAACCTAATGAATAAACCGATAAACTTGATTTGTACGGATTTAAAAAGCTGAAAGATAGCATTAATGTTGACTTCAGTCCTAGTCTAAGTTACGTACGCCAAAGGTACGTAAATTCAAGAGAAATGTCTTATACAATTCACGTAAATATAACTAGTGTTATGCCGTTCTGTCGCGGCGTTTTGATATAATTCTTTCTATTTCGAAAAATCCTTATAAGTCTTTGATTTTTCTTGGTACTTCCATACGATAAAACTAAAGAAATTTAGTTTAACTGTTGACAATAGCCTTCATATCTTGACTTCGTTTCCTAAGAGCCGACATATTGAAAACGTAACTCCGCTGACCAAAATCGCGGGAGCAAAATTATCGAAATTTCTGGCCATTTGTTTACTATTGCATTATATTGATATTATTATTAAAAACCTTTTTATGAAAATTTCTTTGTTGTCCTCTTTATTACAACTGAACAACGTGCATGGGAATGACTGAATATACTTATTCCAAAAAAGATTGTGATAAAATCACCACATAAAATGGCGAATGTCATTTGTCAAACGGCGATTGCAAGCACGAACGAAAGTAGCCATGAGTTTTGCTAGTTGAAAGGCAATAACAACTGATTTGTATTGTAAGATGGTCTGTTGTAAACCTTGGCTTCATTTRGTCTCCATTTCTATGTAAGGTGAATCCAATATTTGTCAAAACATTGCAACCATAGTCCCTTTCGGTCGTGCATCTTTCCTTCGACAATCGTCATTCGCCGTTCTCCCCGACAACGTTTTTAACTCGAAGATTGCACACACCATGGAGTGTGCAATGATAGAAAGTTCTGAATAATTGTCTGTATGTGTGAAACTAAAGGGTTTTTATCACTGTACGCTTCAGGATCGTCTCGCTTCCATGCAAAGTCTATTCCCCATTTCAAGATGGCAGGGGGAGGGAGACTGTTCTCCATTTAAATCAAAGCTCGAGCAAGAAAAAGAGCGAAAAAAAATGGTTCTCTCTCTGTTTTCCTCTGACGTATAATATAAGTCAATATCATCTTATGCGCTCAATAAAACGTGCTGACAAAATCTCACCTTGCTCTTCAAGACTACGTTTTCTTTCTCAAGTCTCAAATACTTGTTTTGCAGTTCCATGTCCTAAAAATAATTTTTATTTAATATCATTGGAAAGAAATTTCATGGTGTCCATGGACGATATAACTATTATGAAAGAATTGCGCGCTTACTGTTAAAGTTTGAACCAAACAATGAAATATTGGAAGCGAACTCGACTTCAGGGACTGTGAAGTAATGAAGTACCGTAAGTACTCTTCCTTCTATTGATACTCACTTTTTGCTTTAAATGTTCGCTCTCGTTTTGTAGTTTATCGTATTTTGTTTGAAAATCTTTGTCCTGGTAAATAATCAGTTTATGTTATTGTTGATTTTATTCTGCATTTACTTCCCTTAAATCAAAGTACAATTCTCACCTTTTGCTTCAAATTTTCACTATCACGTTTTAATATATCATATTTAGTTTGAAGATCTTTATCCTGC